GACCAAAAACAGGAAAATCAGAAACAAAAAATTAATAAAAGATAATAAAAGAGAAGGAAATATGTAGACTTTGACTTTTGTTCGATAACGATAGAATCTATAAATTACAAGAATATATATATATATATATAGAGTCCCTTTCTATTGAGGGACATCCTTTAGGATACCCTACAAATTTTTTTCTAACGATCTAAATCATCTATTTTTTAAGTCTACATTTATAGATCATTCTTGCAAAAAATTAAACAAATCGGAAACCGTTTCGACATCCAATTGTATCATATAAAATCAATGAACACAATACTTCAAGAAAGTACTAAAATTTCAATAACACAATTGAGCGGTCAAACGATATCGGATTCAAGTGATTTTTTGTAGATATGATCTTTGAATGATTATCTAAAACATAAATTATTTGGATTAGTGAAATACAATGCAGAGTGGGCCCTACAAAAATGTCCTTCAAATAAGCTTATTTGAGGGATCCCTCAACTGAAGCTCCTGCATTTTATATATACACGACTAAAATAAGTTGTTATTTACCAACTTTTTTTTATATATATAAATAAAGTAGATGTGTGGGAATTGTGGAACTTATTTAAGTAATATGCTTCCTAAACAAGAATTAAGCTACCAATTCCCAATTCTAAAGTTTGATTTTTCTTAAGTGGCTTAAGATCTTTAATATTAAAGTTGAACCGACTTCGATTCGTGCACTACATTGGAATGAATTATTATTTCAGATTGATTGGGCTGAATTATTATTTTAGAGTAGATGAGAATTATATTAAGTTGAATGATTAGAGTTCTATAGTTGGTGAGCATTTGAGATTAGACTATTGTTTAATTTAATTGTGACTCTTCAACCACGTTTTATTGGAACCTTGTGCTAAAAATAAATTCTAATAAGGATTACTAATAAATGTATTTCTACAACACTATGCTTCTTGTAATTTAGGAAATAGTAAAGTGGGTTAAGGACTTCTAAACGTACTTACATAGCTCTTTTGGATTAAACAAAGGTGGTTGGAAAACCTACCCCTTCCACAAATAGCTTAATAGCTGGAAGTATAAACCCTTCCGCAAGAAAACAGAGACTCGAACTCTATGCTAATAGAACAGGACAACTTTTGGAGCGTTTTAAGGAGAGATCCCATTAAGAAAAAACCAAGCATAAACGAGATGGAGATGGAGTGATGACCCTCAAACCCTTTTAATTTTTGTACTGCCTACCTCCTTTCTGGTAATGAAATACTTATCTCTTACTGCGCACATTGTTATTGACAGGAATGTAGGAGCTCCTACTTATAAGAAAAGACTGGAAGTATTTTCCAATCGTGAATTGTGATAGAGTGATGTTGATTTTCACCAACAGACCAGAGTACAATCCCTCAGATAGGATAGCTAGCTATCAAATTGATGTACCTGCATTTGTAGCGTTCTAATCTTAGGCATTCCCTTGATTACAAAACTATGCTATCATGAATTTCAAATCATCCTTTAAAATATTTGAAAAAAAAGAAAGAAAGGGGACTTTTTCTGTTTACCTAAAAAAAGTTAAATGCAGTTAAAGCACTTTTTCGCATTGTCAAACTTGAAAATGATTAGGTCTAGAAACGTTCATTGCTTCCAATATTAAAAGCCATAATTACGATTCCAAACACGAGTTTTGATTTTGGTAATCAAGGAAGGAAGTTTTCTGTTTCAGGCATTTACCAGTTCAATCTTTTATTTCAAGAGTGAGAAGACGTCAAGGTCGTATGTATAAATAGACTAGCATTTATGTGAACTAATGACCGATTAATTTGGAAAATCCATTTCATGATGTGCTGGGAAGAAGAAGAAGCAGCAGCTACTTTATAATTAATCCAATTTCAGAAAATCCATCAATGCAATCACATGATTTTCCAGGCCCACTTGAACCCAACTGCCAAGTGTTTCATTTCAAGTACCCAAATTCTCTGTGTGCCTGTGTGAGTCAAGTGTCAACTTTTCTTTAAAGTTGAAGTTTCTTTCAAATTTCGAAATGGGTTACATTCATAGATTAAAATCATTTTATATAAGAAAATATATACACACAAGACAGGGATATCATATGAAGGAAAACGTGAAGCCCACTCTAAATAGTTTTGTGACAACCAACTTTGCTCAGTATTACACTATATATATTATATATATATATATAACTTTGCTTGTAGTATATATATTATTATCATATTACGGTTGAAGAATCTATGAGTATACCTCGTTGTCCCACAGGAGCTATTCATTGCTTGCACTTTAAACAACCCTCTATCATTGTAATGGGGACAACATAATAAGTTAAGGGCACTGGTATCTTATGGAAACTAGGTCATTTCTATTTGCTAAATGAGGAAGAATATGAAATTTGAAATCCAAAGATGGTCGACTGTCCTAGCCGTTTGATGCACCCTATATCCGCACATGTCTCAACGGTTAAAACTCGACATTTTTGACAAAATTCTTACATATATTAGTGACAACAAAATAATATATAACTTGTGATATGTCTTTTTACGTTGTCATGTCACAACTATTAATCATAACTTACTTATCATCACTTTTATCCGGAGACATTTTTGAATCCGACTTTCGGAACAGGTCACCCATAGGAAAGTTAAAAACACATAACACATCAAAATTTCATGTATGTTAATTCGACTCAATCCCACATTGATTTGATCGTGTTAAGTGTGTTGTCGTATACTACAGCCGGACACAGTAAAACTCTCCTCCACCCGGGGCTTTAGTTTGCAGACAAAGGCACAGAGAATTAAAGCGAGGACTGCCAAAACATGTGAGTCGGTGAGTAGCAAATCTTTGTGATATACAAGTTGTAACAATGGAAAACAGCTGCTTCAAAACCCAGTACCAGTGGTACCGCTGCTTGAGCTTCAAGACAAAACCTGGACACTGCGTCTCTGACCCAAAAAAGAAAGGACACTAGGCACAGCCCATAATTGCCCACTTGCCACTCACTTCTTTAGAACGTGGCACCTAAAATTTCAATGAATTTCGGATGCATTGCATTCCATGCCGGAAGGTGTATCAAAACAAGTCTAACATATTCATATTCGAGGTCCAATGGGCTTCTGACCAGTAAAGCTTTCATTCTTGTCTCCTTTTCTTCTTTATTTGCTTAATCAGAGAAGTTGTTTTATCAGTTTCATGAGGGTCACTTGATGATCACGAGCCTTACATTTAGATGTTGTGCATTTCTCCGTATCAATTTTAATGATCTAACCGTTTAAGACATGACACATCAACAACTTAAATATTAAAAATTAGTTTTTTCATCAGAAAATTGTTTAAAATTAACAATTATATTATTGTTTAAATAAAAAAATAAAGTTAAAAAATCCACGAAAGTTGAGGGTAAGGGGGCTGGGAGGAGTTGGGGAGGGGAAGGGGAATCTGGGCTCAGGTCGGGGAGGGAAAAGGAGCTTGGGTATTGATCCACTCAGATTATGATTTTGAAAGTACATGAAAAAGTGTTATATGGAATATCAAATTGGAATTGCATACATCCGTTGAATAAACCTCTCCACCCACTGCCCCTTCTCAACATACTCAATTGACCAAAAACCATATCCCCCAAATTCTACAATTTTGTATTCACACCCTGCTTATTTCATGGTTGTGGGGGTCAATCTGTGTGTGAGAGGGAGAGAGAGATGGTGGTGGCCAGGGCGGCTTTGAGTTGGGTAGGGGCGGCGGGGATAGGGGAGGGGAGGGGAGGGCGAGTTGGGTGTCTTCTTTTTTAATCTAGAATTTTGATTTTTTAAAATTTTTAAATTGAATTAAGTTATTAGATTTTTTTTTTTTAAAAAAATTTAAAGTTTGCTTATGTATCATGTGTCATGTCTTAAATAGTTATATCATTAAGATGGTCTAGATGTTACGAAATACGAGTAAATACATAGCATTTAAATATAAAGCCTCGGATCCGTTATCATTTCTTGTAGAATTAGCTCATTACCTTTATCTACCTCAGATTTCGTGTGGGTTTTCATTTTTATTGCTACCTAGTTGCTATAAATTATTAACCTTAATATTTATGAACCACAAAGATGAATATTTATTAAACAATCTTGCAAGAGCAATGAGTCATGACTCGGTTAACCAAACCCTGGATAATCTTAAATATTTACATTTAAAGCACGCGCTTAGACTTTCGTATGGAATATATATACACTCAACACCGCACCCCAAACCTGAAGAGAGAAAGATATGATATGACTTTCTTAAAATTATATTAATTATACATACATATATCTATGCACGTTGTATATAAACGAAAGATTAAGAGCTTATTTGAGAGTGATTTTAGATAAATTAAAAAGCAATATGAAGAATCATTTTAAGTTATTTTAAGTGATTTTATAGAGAAGTTCATGAAAAGTACATATCTCCAAAATCTATTCAAAATCACTCCCAAGCAAACTCTGAAAAAGAATGCAAATAATTAGTACCACATTACTTGAACTGGCTGGACCGGCTCACCAGCATTGCCACCCAAATGTCAAAGTTTCTTGGATTTCATTTTTGCAAAATATAATAATTTGTTAATTTAATTGTGTTCCTTGTGGATTTGGTCTTCGTATTCTTTAAACAAGGATAAATAAATAAAATAAACCCACATGTTATTTTATTTTGATTTAATTGGTCACGAAAACAAATGCATATTTGTGGGAATTTCGTGTGACCTAGTAAGACTATAATTTAACCTATTTAAAGATTTGAATAGCAATAAGGTACTTCATATTGGGAGACCATCAATTAAGTCCAACCATTTTTATCTTGTCCTTATCTTATAATCCTTTATTTAAAACCAACACACGTTCTTGAAAACACTACCTCTAGGTTTTATTCTTGACCAAAAAAACTGCCTAGGTTTTATTAAATTGGATTGATATTGAAGTATGAACAAATGGCTATAAAATACGGAGTATTGAAGGCATGGTATAAGCACGCAAAACCCAATAATGCCTCCAAGTCCAAGCCAGAGTGTCATTTCGATTGTGTACCTATATAGGTTCACATATTATATCGATCACCACATCCGCAAGCTTGTCACAACAGATGGCAAATACAAGCTCATCTCTAAATGTCCTTCAGCCTCCAAAATATGGCAACCTCATAACAGTTCTCAGTATAGATGGAGGAGGAATTAGAGGAATCATCCCCGGTGTTCTTCTCGCTTACCTTGAATCTCAACTTCAGGTAAGGGCTAGCTCGCTTGGTAACACTTTTCGTTTTCGATTTATAATAAGCTTTACATAATTACATTATTAATTAGGTGGTATTAACTAATTAGGAACTAGATGGTGAAGATGCAAGGCTTGCAGATTACTTTGACGTTATTTCTGGGACAAGCACAGGTGGTCTAATTGCGACCATGCTAGCAGCACCTAATGACAACAATAGACCATTATACGCTGCCAAAGATATTGTCCCATTTTACCTTGATAACTGTCCCAAAATTTTCCCACAACCAAGGTAATATTATCGAAACACTAATACGAAAATTATAATTAGATGCATGTGCATGGATATATAATTTTGTTGTATTTATGTCGGAGAAGAAAGATTGAACTCGGATCTCTTCAAACAACATGAAGAAAAATACCACTAAACTAGTAACTAACGCTCTTTCGGTTACTCATGATGATACAGGGGATTGTGTGCCCAAATTGTAGAACTAGTTAAAGTTCTAACAGGACCCAAGTATGATGGAAAGTATTTGCACAAGCTAATAAGAAATATAGTAGGGGACAAAAGGTTGGACCAAACATTGACAAACGTGGTTATTCCAACGTTTGACGTCAAGAAACTTCTGCCTGTCATATTTTCCTCTTATCAGGTTCTTTATTCAATCAATATATTAATTACTAATTACCAATTATGAGAAATCAATAATTTCATGTGGAATTTGATTGATAATTAGGCGAAGTTCTAAGTATTTTTGTCATGATCAAGGTGACAAGCCGTCCAGTGTTGAACGCTAAACTTTCAGACATTTGCATTGGTACCTCAGCAGCACCAACTTTGTTCCCTGCCCACTATTTTGAAAACAATGATCAACAAGGGGAACCAAAAGAGTTCAACCTCATCGATGGTGGCGTCGCCGCTAATAATCCGGTGATGCTCTTAATTACGCATGAATTTTTTTAATAGGTTTTAGAGTTTAGCATACCATATACAGTAAGAGCGACGGGAAATGCTAGAGAGACTTGCTTATAAGAAAGTTTCATGTACAGCCGAACTCTCTTTTAAGCAAGTCCAGTTAGCATTTCTCAGACTGTGACGCAGTGTTTTGTATGCAATTTGGAGGGTGTGGCATGACTGACTTAATTTTACTGTTGCTAAATTTAATATGGTTGCAGGCTTCGGTTGCCATTAGTGAAGTGATAAAAGAAACTAAGAACCAAAATCCAGATTTCATGGAGATTAAGCCCATGGAGTTATACGATCGTCTTTTGTTGGTTTCGTTGGGGACAGGCTCAGACAGAAGTGAGCTGAAGTACAATGCTAAGAAGGCTTCCAAATGGGGTCTTATAGGGTGGTTATACGAGGACGGGTCAAGTCCTTTATTGGAATGCTTTGATGAAGCAAGTGCTTGTATGGTTGACTACCACAACTCTGTGGTTTTCCAAGCCCTCCATTCTGAAGAGAACTACCTCAGAATTGAGGTAACTGAGTTTGAATATAATATATTTATAATATATTTTTTATGTTCATTAAGTTACAAATATATATTCTATTGAATATTGAGAAACCAGGAGGACACGCTAAAGGGAAATCTAGCTTCAGCTGATAAAGCTACCCAGGAGAACTTGGAAAATCTAGTGGAAGTTGGGAATCAATTGCTCCAGAAACCAATTTCAACCATGGATTTGGATACGGGTCTCTACGAACCAGTTGAAAATGGTGGCACCAATCAGCAAGCACTTCAAAGGTAACCCTTGTCAGATGGTTATGCTGCAGATGCAGAATCAACATCTTTTCTTGAATTAGAATTAGTCAACTACTCCTCATCATCATCATTGATTGTGTTAATGCTTGTTGACCAAGAAAATGCTCGTATTGTATTGTATTGTAGGTTTGCAAAATTACTTTCGGACGAAAAGAAGCTCCGGGAGTCAAAATCACCAAATCTGACATAAAGTAATGAGTTGTGTTGTAAGTGTGCTGCTTGCTTGCTTGTATCTCCTTCTAGGCTCTAGCTAGCAATGGCAATGCAAGTGGTTGAATTTGGAAATATATTTCCTGAAAATTATTTGGAAAGTTAGCATAATAATCCACAGCAGCCATAATAATCCACAGCAGCCTCTACTGCATAAGCAAAGGGTATGGGGCTCCTAATTGTGTCTTGGAGCTGGATGGACGCTGATTGTATGTTTTTATTATTATTCTTTTTGCCGGTTACAACGTTTGATTGTATTTTGGTTCTTTTTATTAATGAAATTTAAATAATTATCTTTTTCCAAAAGGCAAAAGAAAAAAACTCAATTCCATTTTCATACCCAATAGTGACTTATTTGATGCTTCACATAGGGGTTTTGCAAATTTCATGCATTGTCATTTAGAATCAAGGCAATGGAGAACTCCAAAAACCCACACCCCTAGGGCAAATTGGACCTACCTCAATGCTAACAAACAATACAAAACCACAAAACCAATCCAGCAATGCTTTCTTCCTCTTTTATCAACCAACACTGTAGTATTAATGGCTGACAGAATCCCCATACATGATAATATACCAAGAACAGCCAGTGTACGTGTTAACAAGGCATAATACTGTACCTCTCTTTGTAACTACGTGTAAGTCTATCTACATGGGAAACTCTTATGCACAAATTGAATCAAATAATAGGGAAAAAATAATCGTACATAGGATAGCTGCAAAACCGCTACAATTCAAACTACGCAAATATTTGCTGAATGACTGTCTCAGCGTTTCCATTGTACTGGGCAAGAAGATGGATCGCATCAGCCCTGGGCAAGGCTAGAAACTCCTGCAATCGTCCAAAATAGTATAATTAGTTGTACGGAATAAACATGTGTTATAATTTAGAAGATGGGGTAACCATACAAAGATCTGGATCAACATTTCTTGTTGACATAGGGGAACCCTTTTGGTTGGGGAATGTATTGATAATTATCGATAATCAAGTAATCTTATGTCGCAAGGAAGACCAGGAATGGGAATGACAAATGATGCGCAATGGATAGGAATAATCTATGAAGATGCCAATCTTTGGCAAGCCTATGGAGGTAAAACTAAAAAGTTCCTCAAAACCCAAAAACCACCACTCAAAGGCAAGGCAATGTACAGAAAGATGTAACTTAAGTTCATAACTTACCATTACTTTCAGTATTGCATTTTCATCACACACAACATCTCTAGATGAAACTTGAGTCAGACTGCTCCCATCTTCCACCATCCTGGTGCTTGAAGATACTGTTACTTGGGAAGACCCGTTAGAGCAACTATCTGCATTTGACTTTGAAGTTGCAGCAGCAGCAAGCGAAGGAGTAGTAACATCTTTTAAGGAATCAATCTTCAACAGATTTTCAAAGTGATCTTTACACATTTGAAGTTTAAACCACTCATTATGTGTGTGAAGGGTAGCTCTCATTATTTTCATAAGCTGGGGTTCGTCAATGCCAAGCCTCCTACCAATTGCAACCTATCCGACACATAAGCAATTGATTAATTCTTGCTTACGGCATGGTGCATTGTAAATAATATATATTACATTTAAGAACTGTGTCCAGATAGCAAAACGATTTGATGGTAGTTATCCTAAAACCCTAGCAGAAAAGAGTTGTGCAGTGAGTACCAACTGCAACCTTAAAGAACGCAGTACAAACTAAGAACTGAATCAATTAATGAAATAAATTGCATGAGCAGTTCCTATTAACTGAATTATGACAATTAGTCATGGGATACCTGCAGTGAAGTTGCAAGAGCATGTAAGGGCAAGCCTTTTCCAAGTGCATCTTCATTAGGTTGGAGCAGTGCTAACAAAGTCTCCTTCAAGGGCTTCAGTAAAGCTTGATCGCTAGCAGCTAATGGACCTAAATGAGAGCAAGCAACCCTCAGAGCACTAGAATGATCACCGGAGGTGACAAGCTTAAGGAATTCAACCTACAGGTTGGTGAAAATATTAGACAGTAGTTTTGTATCATAAAATCTTAATAAAAACCATTTACTTCAATGAAGCTACTGACAATACATGCTCAAAGTACCTGCTTAAGTTGGAACAGCAAAGTGGGATTTTGTACAAAAAAGTTTGGGTCCATAGCATTAACTTCTTCCACAACCTCCGCAGCCATTCCTTTGCTAGTTAGTTCCTTCATCCCAAGCACAATCTCATATTTATCCTCCACATTGTTAACGTCTAAACTTAAACATTCTGAAGCCTGCAGAACAACACTCTTGTCAACTAACAACCAATAACATCACTGGTACTACCACAACATATAAGTAATTACAACAAAACAAAACCTGCTGTTCCCTTGATGAACACATATTGGAAACCATGGCCGTCGTGCTAAGCTCTTTACTCGTTTCATTACAGGAAACGCCAGTAGTAAAACAAATATCATCTTGTCTTCCCCTCCATCGCTTGCGTTTACTTCTTTCTGCAGTTACATTGGCTTTGCTTCTTTGTGGAACTCTGAGATTATCAGACTGATGTGATCCACTGGTGCTACAATCTTCATGGTTGTTTGTTGACTCACAAGCATAACGTAATTCAACATCCATTCCTTGCATGCTAGTCAATTCAGAATTCTTTCCAGGGGAACCACCTAGGTTATCATTAGTACTGATGGAAATTTCACCATCAGAATGTTTGCCGGCACCAGAATCTACCTCATGGGAACTGCCTCTTGACAAACAAAACCCAATCCCTGGTTGATCAACTTTCATAGATTTGGAAGGGCTTTGTATTCCAGCTGCTGTCATTGGGAGGTAGATCAGTAGGAGAACCAGAAATTAAGAAGGAAAAAAAAAAACACACACACACACACACATCTATGAAACATTAAAAAATAATAATAATAAATGAAAAAGTTGAATTATCACCTGAAGAAGATGGAAGACCAGAATCCACAATGCCCCTGTAAACACAGTACTCGCGAACAAGCTCATCAAGCATGGTAACATCAAACCTCATTCTACATAATTCATTCTGCAGTAGATAAGCATTAAGAACAATAATTAATATCAGTAAAGTCAAAATATTGAGCCAACCATATAATTCAAAGGACCTCATAAATGATTTACATTAGCATCATTAGGTTTATTTTTCCAGGGAACCACTAACATGCAAGAAATAAGAGTTATGGATAAGCATCCAATGACCGAACTCCTATGAATTGTGAAATATAATAACATATATTCAAACTTAAAGCCACTGTGATGAAAATAACGTTGAAAAGGTAATTAATAACCTGGAACGCCTGAAATAAATCACCCTTAGCAAATCTCAAGCTATCTACTGCTCCTTGTCGTGTAAGCTCCACAGCATGTGCAAGAGCTTGTATGTCCACCTGGTTTTCCAAACCACACATGAAATTATATAAGACATGGTTAGCAGTGTAATTATATAAGACATGCTGACTATACGATAATTCTTTGTTTACCTTCTGTAACATCTACAGAAAAATGTTCATATTTTAGAAATCTCACCTCATCAAAAGGAGGTGCTTCATACAGGCTCTCCTGGGGTGTTGCTGGGGGGTCCCGCTCCTCAAGAAGCAGCCTCTGAGTAAGATCAGAAATGGGTGACGACATTCCTTGACGAAAGCAAAATCCTTTGTGTATGCTGCATAAGACAGGGATAACTTTAAAAGACAACTACAATGAATCTAGTGCCTGTGCTGTATCCCCACAGACAGGCACTCTCACTCACTCACACCCCAAAGAATAGAATAATGTCGATTGCAAGTAACTAAATTAAAGTCAACGAGGTAACACCTTATTAAATATATCAATGTCATCGAGAAGACTGGATCATAAGCATGTAAATGCGCTCTTAAGACAGTGGAAATCAATCCAGCAATGTCAAACCTCCTCCTTTCAGACCACTGGGAAACATAAAACAAACATGCCCTTTACGTCAGTCTACATGTATGGTATGGGGAAAAAAGAAATGAACCATAGGTCATAGTTGCGTTGACATTACATAAAATATCCCACCTCACTTGCTACTGGAGAAGTTTGATCTTCTTTGTCATATATAAAAGCAAGAAGTACATGCTTGAATTCCTCATATGCTTCCTTGAATGCAATAAAAACATCCATCAGAACTCATAATTGAACAGAGTAAGCAACTTGCATCAAACATTTAGTAAACTAGCACAAACCCAATACTCATATTTGCTCAATTTTGACACACGGATAATAGAGCTATAGCCAACTTCTCTAGTCTCTTAGTGGTGAATTCCATTAGAAGATTATTGAAAGAAAGAAACTTCACGATGCTTGATACAAAGATTTTTTAAGTACCGGATAAGCGTCAAGGGCACAAGGAGCAAGAGCATTTCTCAGGCAATTAATTGCACAATCACGATCCTCTGTGGTTCCTCTCCTCAATAGCTCAATAAATCTCTTTAAGAAAATAGCACAAAGATAATAATTTTGATATGAAAGAACAAATAAAACCCTTAAAAACTGTAATTTACAACATTTTCGGGCGTTTTCTCGGCAGCCAAACAGCTAAGAGTACCTGTTTCTGCAAGCGGAAGAGGAGCCTGTGATCTTCGAGAATGAAAGGGGCGTGGGAGCGAAGGAGATCGATGGCCGCGTCAATGTCACCGGCCTCTAACAACCGTCTGATCTGGCGAATGATCAATCTCGAGTGGTAAGACGAGGAGGAGATAGAGGAGGGAGAAGAAGAAGAAGGTGGGGAAGAGGGTGGAGAAGACGACGTCGTAAAGGAGGAGTCTTCGACTAGCTTCTCGGATTTGGCGAAATCGATGATGAGAGCGTCCAGGGCTTCCCAGTTAATCGGCGTTGTGTCCATTTTAGAATTTCTCGGGAAAATTTCGGGGTGTTTGGTTGGAAGGAAAATGAAAATGATTGTATTTAAAAGAGATGGAGAGAAAATTGGTGGAAGGCCGGAAGGGAAAATGTTTCTCTGAAACCGAGAGCGGACACAAGGCGGAAAATT